TAAATCCAGGACGGACAGGCAGGAGCACACGTAGGGAAACATTCACTATCACATCAATAATGGACGAGGGAAAACAGGAAAGACTACACTTTAAATACTGAGGCAAATGAAGATAATTAATGACACACACATGAACTAAATGACACAATCAAACATGAGGGAAAACTAGGTCACACAAAGCACATGGGGGAAGAAAACACAACAAAAGTCCAATGGGGTGTGACACTTACGATATCACAAGTTTAGTTCAGGTTGTTACGTTTATGCTCATGATTTAAAAACAAATCAAACAAAAACTTTTTGCATTGTAAAATATGTTTAAAAACCTTTAGTAAAATACTGATTAACATGTATACACTCACATTACATGCATTATAAGCTAAAAAAAAAAAGCATGTTAGAAAATCTAAATGAAACACTGAAAACTTTCTGTTTAAAGATGCTTGAGAATCAAACTGCTTCTGCGGCCTTGCACAGCACTCTTCAGCTGAACATACTGTTCTGGTTTATTTCAGTTTCACAGACGTGTGTCATCATCATGTGAACAGGAAGGATGTGGAAAATGACGAACAACTCTGTCTCTTTATATAGGGTTGAGATTGCAGGTCTCTGAGCTGTCACTTCACATCACATCACATCAAACTGGCTGGAAGGTAAGTCTGCAAGCAATATTTTATCACAACGACACATTAGTGTGGCGATTATTATAATATACAGTCATCAAAGCTGCCAAATTTGAATGGGGTAAAGTTTATTAACAGCAAAGTGTAACATGTTTCAGAGAAGTACATTAAACTTTTATATTTGCAAGACCTGTTGTAAATAATGTTGCTGTTTTAGTTCTTGTGTTTCTTAACATTTTAAAAGCCCTATTAACAGAAACATTGTCAATGCTGTTAACCAATACTGGCTTAAAATGTATTTTAGGGCTGTCAATGTGTGCAAAGACAGTTGAGAAATATGAAATATATTCAAAACCAAAATTTGATAAAATGTCATTCTGCTTTCAAAAGATTATTCAGTTGATTCTAATATCGTAGCACAAAAAGGTGTATTCTTTTTTCTTCAGCATAACAGATTTTTTTTTAGCATATTAACGAAAAATCCCTCTATAGGGTATTGAATCACAAAGTTTAGTGATGTCCCTGCTAGAGAGAGGTTTTAAGTGCGTGATGCATGTAGCTCAGCTGAAAGAACTGAATCAGTCACTGCAGATCAGTTTAGTTAAGTGTCTAGTGCTTTGCAATTCAAACATATACATGTCTCAAAGAAAAAAAAATGAATGTCAAGCAGGCCATCTGACTGAAAACATCTGATCTATGGGAAGCTGATTGTCATCTCACAGCTACGTAGATAATAGATACATGTGGCATTTGTTAAATAAACCTTTTCTGGAAGTGGCTCTTGCAGCAAAAGCCCCTCGCAGAGAGCTGTCAGGGCCAGACATTGTGGGCTCCCGCATAACCCAATCATTGCATGACAAGCGCAGCTCACCAGATATGAGTCCACCGGAGACACTTCACGTAAATGAGCTCATGAAGAACGGGGGAAATGACAGCAGACTTTTCCCACACTCTGCTGAATTCCATGTAGGTCTGTTGACTCAGCTTCACCGTGGCTATAGGTCCCTCACACATTGTCAGAATGAGATTATATTAAAAAAATCTGCTTATGATTTGGTTTATGCATGGTAATAGTTTCTGATGCATTTTAACTAGGGATGCAAACATTTTAGGGCAATTACATGTTTTGATATAATGATTAATATCTCAATCAATGTTTGATGAGAAAACCCCAAGACATTATTGTTGCAGATTATTGAATTATGCTACAAAACATTGTGTAGCCTAACATTATTATTGAATAATGTTACAAAAAGTGGCTTTAGAACTCAATACAACCCTTTTGTTTCTTGAAACGAACTAATTTAAGTCGACCTTCAGTTTGTCCATCCGAGGTAAACATTCACACAGAATGCATTCTTGCATTCCACCTGCGCCATTTTTGTGGACTGTGTGTGCAAACCGAAGTTTATTTTCAAGGAATATATTTTTAAATCGTGTGACAAATTAAAACACTGTTAAAAAGACATCATGCATTCGGTTTCACTCTGTCTAACTATTTTTGGACTTACTCTGCTTGCTCATGATGTGGTTTGGTTTGGTTTGGGGGTCATGTGGTCAGACGTTCTCAGTTATTAGAAGAGGTGAAGGCAACATGGGCATACAAACGCATGAATGTATGTCAACTTAATTGTATCACAGGCGTCTCTAAAGCTGCCGAGAAACCTTGAGCATTCGTCAGTACAACATGTCACACATTCAGGTAGGGCTGGACGATATGGCCATATTTATATCACAATATATTTTTTAATTTCGGTCGATACAATATAATTCCAATATCGATATGAACACTATTTATCT